CCCCAGGACAACTATTCCTACAAACTTAGAGGGAGGGTTGGGATCCCGCTAACATGTTTAACCCCGCCACATTCTTAATGTATGTGTCTGTCCCAAGTCGTTAATTTACATATTTGTTTTTCGTTAATTTTTGTACATAAAATAGGCCGCTAGTTTTTCTCGTTTGAATTGTATTACATTTGTCATTTCGGGGCCTTTTATAGCTGACTATGCGGTATGGGCTGTGATCATTGTTGAAGGCCGTACGGTGACCTATAATTGTTAATTTCTGTGTCATTTGGTTTCTTGTGGAGAGTTGCGTTTTTGAACAAACCAGCGTATCCCAAGGCCTTGATAACCTCTGTAGGCCCCAAATAAGACGAAAAAACATCAAAATTGGAGAGAAAACTGAAAATAAATGGTTTCTAACCTCAGGGATATTAACCCTTGGCATGCTGAATTGTTATCAGAAATTGTCTAAATTACGAGTATTTGTAAAAATATGCAAATGATATGCAAATGAGCTGTACCCTGATGCTGATGCATACTGATTGCATTAAATCTAAGATAGCCAAGCGTTAATATCCCTGAGGTTAGAAACCATTCAACTGGGTCTCATTTGACTTTTGAATTTGAATTTGTTTCCGCTACAAGCTTTGCCTTTACTGACAACCATTTTGAAATGCCTATCGCATCAAAAAGTGAAAAGTTAAACTATAAGGTTGCCGTTATTATCACATAGCGGTCAGGAGTCTGTAATTCAGTGGTTGTCATTTGTTGCTGTGTTACATATTCGTTTTTCGGTCTTTGTTTGTACATTATTAAAACCGTTATTTTCACTCGTTTGAATTAAATTATTAAACAGCTGTCATGTCGGGGACTCTCCCTCTGATATCTTTCGTCCCTCTTTTATAGCTGACTATGCGGGGGCTTTTCTCATTATTGAGGGCATTATGATGACCTATAGTTGTTAATTTCTGTGTTATTAATTCTCTTGGCAATCATAATACATATTCTTATATATATATAGCGATGTCGTTATTACGACATAGCTATGTCGTAATTACGACATAGTGATGTCGTAATAACGACATGTTATGTCGAAATTACGACATAGCGATGTCGTTATAACGACATGTTATGTCGAATTACGACATGCTATGTCGTAATTACGACATAATTTTTTTTTTGAATGGCCCTTATCGGCTTCCGTACAACATCAACAAGCAACAACCACTGAATTACAGGCTCCGACTGTGGACAGGCACATACATACAGAATGTGGCGGGGTTAAACATGCTAACGGGATCCTAACCCTCCCCCTAAGTTTGTAGGAATAGTTGTCCTGAGGAACGTTGGGTCCAAAGTTTAATACAGGCTTCAATGGGGAGGACGCTGTAAGAATCTCATTAAGAACTAACAGTATAGCAATGCAGTTATAATTTGCATCAAGCATCAGTAGGCCATTAAGATGCAATTGTGTACAAATGAAGGTGCATAGGTCCATGGGTCTGAGCACTAGGAGTCCAAAGTTTAACATAGTCTTTATTTGGAAAAGCTTAAAATTCATCTTTTTCAGAATCTGCAATGGAAATGCAGTCATATTTTACACGAATCTGTACATGCCAAACATAACTAGAGGCTCCAAGGAGCCTGAATCGCTCCCCTGTTCAACTGGGTCTCATTTGACTTGATTATAAAATAAAGTTCTAGTATGTGCAAGTAAATAACTTTAATTAAGCTTGATTGCATTTAGTGTTCATTATTCTCCCAAAAAAGATGAATTTGTTTACGCTACAAACTTTGCCCTCACTGACGACCATTTTGAATTTTCTATCGCATCAAAAAGTGACAACGCTAAGGTTGTCGTTATTATGACATAGCGATCAGGAGCCTGTAATTCAGTGGTTGTCGTTTGTTGCTGTGTTACATATTTGTTTTTTGTTCATTTTTTGTACATTAATAAAGCCGTTAGTTTTCTCGTTTGAATGAAATTGTTAAACATTTGTCATTTCGGGGCCTTTTATAGCTGACTATGCGGGGGCTTTGCTCATTATTGAAGGCATTATGATGACCTATAGTTGTTAATTTCTGTGTCATTTATTCTCTTGGCAATCATAATACATACTCTTTGTTTATATATATAGCGATGTCGTTATAACGACATAAGGATGTCGTTATTACGACATAGCGATGTCGTTATTACGACATGCTATGTCGAAATTACGACATAGTTATGTCGTTATTACGACATGCTATGTCGTAATTACGACATAAATTATTTTTTTCGAATGACCCTTATCGGCTTCCGTACTTTAGTAATACGAAAAAATAAGGGTATCGTATGAAATCCAAAAGAAGCGAGACAGGGTGCGTCGACAGGAGAAGCGTCTCTTCCTATGCACGCGTCATTCGTCATGCGAATTTATACTCGGTCAAAAAATGTCATAATCAGGAATAGAACACAATAAGTAAATTTACGGATTAGCCGATTAATCTGTAATCTAAAGATCTAAGCTTGCAAAAACATTTTGCTATTGAATTCAGACATAGATAACAACCAATTCTTGATGGTGACCGTAAAACTTATGTAGTGTCGATTTCAGTCGTTCTTCCTCATAACTCTGTTGGAGCAGTTTCTGTGTAAGGACTCTGGAGCATAAACCTGTTAATGAATTCCGTATAGTTTAAACATACACGAGCGCTGTGTATCAATTGATATATGTAAAAGCGATACGATGGGATAAATTGTATATTACTTGGAAAGTGGAAATCATCACGTTTGTCATAGAATTACTCAGAATTAGTAATATATCAATTAATTACGTCCGAGGAAAAATGCCTTTGCAAATTAACTCTTGGTTTTACTTGATTATAAGATTAAGTTCTTATTCTGTCTGTTTAAAGTTTTCCAGGTTAGTAGATTAACATACATCGACACAAATGTTCCACTGATTTCTGAACTCGTTATGGAATTAAATATTTCTGACACCCTCGGATTCATCCTAGTGTCAAATCTGATACTTTGCAAACCCTTTTTATCATCAGACGAAAAGAAATCATCGAATGGTTGTAAAATTTTATCGTCAGTCCCTTCATTTCTATAAATATTCTTCTAAACATCACTGTCCTGAGTAGGAGCTTCACACAATTCCCCATACACTATGTCAAACTATTCCCCCCGTTTAGAACCAGAATCTTCTAATTGACTACCGTCTGCAAGAACTGTATAAGAGGTGTAATCTATAGACTCTGTCCTCTATGTCTATTGTGCGTTTCTTGTCGCATCATTTTTTGGCATTAGTGAGATCATAGGTTAACCAATGTCTGATTTTGTACTTCGATTGTGTTTCATTATGGGTGGCCCTTTTTTTGCAAAAAGGTGTTTGCTTTGTTTATGAATTAAATTGGAAAACGACCACTGCTTTAGTCGACATTTATTTCCCGTGATAAAAAAATCATTTTTAAACTATGATTCCAGCTTCCTCAGGTAAAGTTAACATAAGATGAATTAGGCTATTCTTTGTATGTCTTATTTTTGACATTTAACTCCTAACATGTCTGCTTATTTTCACAATCCCTGGCTTTTAAATGTTCAAAAGTGTTCTGATGAAGGTATTTCCAGAAAAAGTGCTTCGGTCGCACACAATTTATTAAGTGACATTTTATGTTGATTCACTGGGTCGATTCCTCTGCTGGTGGACTGTCAGTCCCACACTGCATCATCAGCTCAATAGCCAGTGATTCGATACTGACATGATTCATAACATACATCGTTGATAAAATAAAATATATATATATAAAAAAATAGTCTAGCGAAATATTGCGTTTATTTTCATCATTTTGTAAATATTTTAAACATTCTTATATTTACATACTAAATAGTGTGTTAAAATTACATTGTTAGGCAATCTATAATTTTATTTGTGTAATTGAATTAATCTCTGTACTGATTAATCCACACTCCCATAGATTTGTATGTCATGTGCTGCTATTTATAGGCACTTATATATATATATATATATATATAATTTGTTAAATTTCATTTGCATGAAGTATCAGAGATGTATAAATTCCATTACGCTATAATTATTATTTGATTATTTATTCAATTCTTATGTTATTGTATTTTCAAGGTTTTTCATATCTTATTAGATATGACTTTTTCGTTTACATTTTTTCTTTAGCTTATTTGTCGTAAAGGTTATATTTCCGTCTTTACAATTTATTGTAGACTTTCATGAACATATCATTGCTATAAATGACGAATTATAAATACGTTATGTTCGTTAAGACTGACGTCGAAAATCCTGTGATAGATTTATATGTTAAAAGCTTTCTTCTGATTGATGATATTGTATTTCAGACGTTGAATTTTTATAATGAATTTCTTAATTCTAAACCTGAATTTCGACTTAAAACTCTTACTTTCGAAACTTGAATTGTAAACAATATAATAAGGAGATGATATATGATTGCCATCGAGATAAATATGCTCCAATAGAACTTCAAGTCAACGTACAGCCTTCCATGATGAGCAATACCTATACCACATTGTATAAAAGGTTTCTGAATAACATATATGGTAATATAGCCCCTCAAATAATCAATTATTAATTCTTCTTTTTCTTTTCTTTTTTTCTGTTTGAACGTTCCTGACGTTCGGGCGGACGAACTTAATAAACTATTATTTTCATTTTATAGTCATCGGTTGCTGTCTCCCATAATTGTTTATCGTTTGGTGTCTACATTTATTAACGGATGATTTAAGAAAGGTATGGTATAAATCATGTCAGTAAATAAGCACTTACTGCTAAGCCGATAATGCCATCGAGCAGGACTACATACTCCTGGTAAAGAAATTGACGGGTTATAACATGTTTCTTAGCGCTTAACATATGGCGTAACAGCACATCATTAAAATGAAACGTAAAAATCAAATGAAAAGTGCTCGATTCACTAGATCTCCCCTACATCACAAAAACAACTAACAAAAAGACTAAAAAACAAACTTTGAGTAATCGCGGTTCCTGAAATATAGTTTAATGCCCAATTAATAACAATATGCTATACGTGGAGGGTTAAACAAGATTTTCTTTAAAAGTTGTAATGAGAGTTAATGAACGTTACTGGTTTTTAGTATTCCTGGGGCACTTCAGACACTTTTTTCTATTGTCATGTATCCTTTTTAAAAAAAAAAGCGAACTATCCATCCGAGTTTTCATCCTGCAATGTATTTTCATATATCAATCTGTGTAAGATACCATTTTAAAATATTGTTTTTGTACAGTTAATATGTATGTGAACTGCACAATTTACTACTCAACTGCTAAAAGTTTATCAGATATATTTCCATTATCATATCCTAGAATGCGATTCCATCATGTCTTTCACTAATTTGGCAGCATGTATGCCTGTACCCCAACTCAATGCTATTCCATTTGAACCGTGTCCATAATTGTGTACTACCTAAAAGAAAAAATAGAATGCCAGACAAAATCTGATTTTTTTAACACAAATTTTCATCAAAGGTCATCTGATGTTCTTTGCACCTAAAGTCAATCATATCTTTTTTTCAAAATAAAATAAAATAAATTCTGTTTATGTACTAGCGTTACCGCCTCTTTAAATCGTTCCGGTTTCATATTAAATAATAGGTTTACCTTTTTAAACCAATATCTGGTTATTTTTTATAAATCAATAAAACAATCTATTCTATGCTGATACATAATGGGAAGTTAAGTCATTAACTATGGTTTCGACCTGTTGTGACGTAGATCCAAATGTACAGCTTGGCTACCAAATGATACAGAATATCGTATCGATATGAACTAAAAGCTAAAAATCATATCGTTTAAACCGTAAAATGTAAGAGATTTATTGAACATATGCGACATGCATATCTGATGCAATTTAGATCATATATATGTTTACTATATCTACTATAATAGAAAAACAAAGGATATTTGGGTATCCATCCATGACACAAAATCAGTACATGCACAGCAAAAACACACAAAAAGCAAAGGAACAGCGCTTTTATTGCTGTTCTTCATCTTAAAGTCACAATGAGGCCTTCAACACGAAGCAGAAAAAAACAACCCTCACCTCACTGCAAGTTTATTGAAATAACACATTTTCGAATGAAATGTATTATAAGTTGAGTCATTACTTACTTTTAAAAATAATTGTTGATTTACAATTCTAAATCATTTTTTGTTTATTTTGTCTAATACTTAACATGATTACTAAACTGAAATAGTTCATAGTCTTTAAGTAAGAGAATATGTAGTGAGCATTTATTGATACTATATATGCAATGAATATCCTATTTGACTTACACACATTTTGGTTTCATATGAAGGTTACGAATGAGGAAGTTACTGTTTAACTTTTAAATAAAGAGTGTGTATCATACTTTTATATATTATATTTTGATAGACTTAACCGCTTTTATTTGAGTGAAAACAACACACTGTCTTTTCTGTTATTCTTAATCTCACCTTCACATCAGTTTAGTTCAAAAACTGATTTGTAGGAATGTAAACGCCTTAAGTTCTTTTCAAGCTTAAAATAAAACTCACAAACTCTCACCTTCAGTGGTCCTTTATTTGTCTTTACGATTTCTGGCTCCAGTCGAAGTGGTGATCTAGAAGGTCTCAACCCAACCCACTCCTCTACTACAGTACATCCCTAAAATTTGAATTACAATTTCTATAGAAACAATCATTTACATAGTTACATAATGCAATTTTCATGCAATTGTACATTGAATATACCATAAAAATGTCTACAAATGATTTAAAAAATAAAAATACACTATAAATGTCATGCATTCGAGGCGCTTTTCTGGATTTTCCTTCATCAGGAACATTAAATGGACATATGATGTACGATAATCAATTATAAAATAGACATTTGCAAGAGGAGCGAAAGATACTAAAAGGATATTCAAACCTATAAGTCGAAGACAAACTAACTACGCCATGGCATAAAAAAACGATAAAAGACGAAAAGACAATCATCAGTCTACAAAACAAAACAGAAAACTATAGAATGAGAAACACGAACCCCACCAAGAACAAGGAATGTTTTCAGGTACTCCGGAAAGGTTAACAGATCCTTCTTTACATGTGGCACTCGTCATGTTGATCATGGAACTACAAATTCAGTAATAGGTCTCATTCGGTGATGTTACATTCGAGGAAAAGAGGACGGGAGCTTGGTAACAAAAATTGGAACATAACCATCGTCATCTGTTTAACAGATATTCCATAACGGTCAAGCAACTCGTGATGGCGATCATAAAATTTTCGAAGGGATGACTTCGATCATGTGTAATTGGCCATATTGTACTATATTCCTGTTCTACGATTCTTTACTGAACACATAATTGTAATCTTTATTTACACAGCGGATGCGAACATTTCGCTACGGCGTAGCAATCTTGTTAGATATGTAATACCTTATATTTTGAATGCGCTGAGCCATTATTAAATGTCCTTTTAAGCATTTCTCTTTTCATTTAATAAATTGTATAGATGTTAAGATTGCAACTCTTTCAAACAAAGACCTAAAACAGATTTAGATATTTTATTTTTGACCCTTTTAGTTTTTATGCTCATACAAACTTTATATATTTATTCGGTTCCTTTAACTGTTGGTTTCAATCGTGCATGATGACCATTATTCCCGAAACATGATTTGTGCGCACGCAAATTAGTGACAAATTAAAAAAATAACGCAACTTATAGGCCTCAATTCTTAAAAATGATAATCTAGATAGAAAAATCTAACAATACACTATGCTCCACAAAAATTACATAATTACAAAAAAACCTTCAACCCATTGACTGATATTGGTTACTGGCTCTGGTCAATATATTTGGTAAAGATTTTGCAATGTATAATTTTCTATGTATCAAACCTTTAATGGTGGCCATAGATCGAGACACCTGTCCATGACACCTTTACTATCTGTTTTGTCGATGTCCAGGTTATAGTTATCCTTTTGTCTGGTACCACCGATACTTATGACATCACCACTGTTGAAAAAAGTATACATAGTAGTAAGCTATAAAGCAGCAAGTAGAGGTAGAATACTTTATATGGCATTTTCAGTTTCTCTTCGACTCATGAGTTTTGAATGTCCCCTTGGTATCTTTCGCCACTTTTTTACTTTAATTTTGCTAAGTATATAATTTTGCAAAAGGGAAGCTTTAATATTTGATAGTCATTATTGTGACAAAATAGAATATTAAGACACGTTTCGCTGCTTTGAAGAAGGAGAACAAAATGCAGGTCTACAAAATGCTAGTATACCTTTTAATTTGTCTTTTTGCATACAATTAGGTTTCAGTATTTGGTGTCTCAAAACTATCGCTATATTTTTTTATAAATGGCAAAATGGCTTATCAATCGATCAATATAAAAATAAGGAGATGTGGTATGATTACCAATGAAACAACTATCCACACAAGTCCAAATGAAATAGAGAAAAACAATTATAGGCAACAATGAATAATACCCATACCGTATGATCGCCTATAAAAGGACTCGACACGAAAAATGTGAAACAATTCAAAAGAGAAAAATCACGGACTAATTTATAACAAAACAATTCATGAAAAACAAATATGACAGACATTATCCAACGACAATCTCTGAACTGACTTAGGACAGGCACATAAAGAATGTGGCGAGGTTAAACATGTTTGTGAGCGCTCAACTCTCCCCTAACATGGGACAGTCGTGTAACAGCACAACATCCATGTTGTAATATAATGTGCACAGGACAAGAAAACCAAACAGATTGCATTAAAATCTAGACTCACAATTGTGCTATATAAATAGTTAATGTTTATAAACCCTTTCAGAGTATATAGTAGTTGTCAGTCTCAGTGCTGTGGGTTGAATATGTCACGATAACCATGGACAAATAGACAAATACTAATGACAATAATATTGGTTCTTGATAATTTCATAAGGACTATATCTCGCATAAACTACAACATATTTGATATTTTTGCAGTACACAAACTAATATATTTGTTAATATACAAATACAGAAAAAAAAACTTACTTTGGAATAATATAAGCACCATCCTCTGTAGACATCCAGCACTTTATCCAATCAGCTTTTACCTAAGGAAAATCAATAACGACCATTACGAAGGATAGATACTAAGATTTATTTACAAACATCTGTTTTCTTAAATTTACTCTCAAAGAGAGATTTTTCTACCTATTACAAAATAATTCTCATTCTAAACTTAAAGATCAGAAAGAATTAATTCAACTTTATTTAAAAAATGGCCAAAGCCATATACAAAACATTGTGTTTTAGAAAGGGGAATAAACTGATTTAAATGAAGTTTTGGAACATGTAATCATCAAGATGCATGTTTTTGTTTTATGACAATATATTTGTTACATTTGTAGGAAGTGTTTTTTACAAAATCGGCATTCCTATGAGAACCAATTGTGATCTTCTTCTTGGCGACTTTTTTCTAAATTTTTACGAGACAAACTACATACAGGAATTTCTTAATAAAAATAAATGGAAGCTGCCATTGATCTTCAACTTTAACGTTCCGCTATAAAGATTATGTTCTGTGTTAAGTAAGCGTTTCAGATGGTAAAATAAAAGTAATCTTTTCGAAAGTCTTACGGGAGCCATCATGATTTGGTTGACCGTTATGAAAAATATGTGACACATATGACCACGGATGTTTTAATTGTTGTATTCAAATACACATCCTACTTTCCCCTGATTGTGAAATAATCAAATGCGTCCTATCATAATGATTACTTGCAACAACTAACACGAAGGATGCGACTATGAAGCTGTAACTGCCTACCCTTCCGACGGACCCGATTTCAATCAGTTTTCTGTTGGAATTCGTGTTGCTCAATCAATAGTTTCGTGGACTTGGTTGTCCTTAAGTCTTTTTTTACATGGGGTTATCTGTTTTATGTTACTTATGGTATTGATTGTGTCTTTGGCAGGCCTGGGGTTATGGTAATTTGTAATTGTAATGCATTGTAATATTACATTTTTTTGATATAATGCAAAGTAATTTGTAATACACATTTTCTGCATTACAATTACATGTAATGTAATGATTACTTTAGTTAGAAATCAGTGTAATGCCTCCATTACTGTACATTACTTTTCATTACAAATTGGTAAAATACATGAAATTGAAGAATATAGTAAAATAAAAATAAAATATTAACAAAAACAAAAGAAAGTATTGAATAAAACTATTGTCACAGTTAATTACTGTATTAAATCATTATAGATAGTTTGAGATTTTGCAAGGACAACATGGAAAATAATATATTAGACCAATTTGATTTACCACCTGACACTGATACAATTTTCATAATTCTATACACACCTTATTTCAATGAAAGATTGAATATGTCAATCAACATTTTTACACAAAACTGTTGTTTGGGTCCTGTCTGTGGTTGTTATTTCACCTATCCAACTTGCAAAGTCATGACTCATATTCGTATATTCATATAAAAATCCATAATGGTAGTTTATACTTCGCCTTAGCTGTTAGAATAATACAGCTTTAAGCAAGAGTATTTCCGAGAAAGAAAAACCCAACTAATTCAAAGCATAGAATGATAATAATGTTTATGTTGGTTAATTAATAAACATCTATTTATGATGCCAAAATTAAAAATCAAAGTACTGAAGTACTGAACATCGGATTTATGACCGCAAGTTCTTGTGGATGTTCACAAGCACTTGTCTCAGAAAAAAAAATCACATCTGTATACCTGAAAGTGAGGTTAATGTACAGAGATATATTTTTTTTCTGAGACAAGTTCGTGCGTGGATAATAAATAAATGACAGGGAATTCAAGACACCGTAATAACTTTTATATTGTAGTGATACAAATCAGTATACTCTGGTTTGTTGTTATATATTATATTAATGTTTGTATATAATTTTCATCCATTTGTATATCGATTCATTCTATTTCACTATTCTAATAATAGTGCAGTGCAAGTGCATGGTGGACACTCTTATGTAATAATATGATTTTTCTAATAGATTGGATTTGAGCAGGCATTCATATTTTCCCGCAAAACGTTCTTGAGATATTCTTCCGCATACGTTAACACAATTTTTCTGTACGTGTGCATAGATATTATCAATGATTTTTTACTTATATATATATTTCTAACGACAAAACATTTTCATATTATTAATTTATGTTCTAAACAAAAACATTTTATGAGTATTCATTTAAGAAATGAATTTATAACAAGCGATAAGGAATGTTATTTTGCACTCGATAATGTCCGCGTATTCATAGATCGGTTACCAGTCAAACACGAAAGTTACGTAAGTAGAAATCTCGTCGGCAACAATACATCGGAATGCCCTCACGGTCATCGCTATGTAACAAGCAACAAATGCAATATGGTATCCAGTAAATGCTCAATTTAACAGTGTCCATCTACACTAAATCGCAGGGCGCAAGACATTTGGACTAAATCATAAGCGTGACTATGGTATTATTTGGGCTAACAATTATAGAGTCAAGTTTACATTTGGTGTAATTATTTTCTTAACCTGCACAGACTTGTCTTGCTCAAAATCCAACTTCCAGAAACCCTCGGTGAGCAGGAAGCAGCCACTATCAGGCAAACGGAATGGGTACATATACATATCATAATACAATGTCATTTATTCCATGTAGATTATTAATAAATAATTAAAATATAGAAATGTAACATGTAATTTACCTTCGCATAGGAGGATTAGCCCACATGTCGACTTTAAAATTGAGCCATAATGTCGACTTGCCATATTTTAAGCCCAATTGTTACACCACTTAGCCCACACGTGCATTTCCCAAACTGCAATACTTACTCAAGTTTAATAATGTGTTTAAGGGTCAATTCGATAACAATTCAGAATCAAATCATAACTGCTGGTTATTATAAATAAAGGTAGAGGAAGGTAAATGCAAATAAAACTGCAACCCAAAGACACAAATATACAAACGTCATAGAGTGGTTTATATACAGTTTCCAACAATACAGAGGTGTGTATAGGAAAGAGGCGGGAGATATCTAAGAGATATTCAAACTCTTAAGTCGATGACAAACTGACAACGCTATAGCAAAAACAGTATACAAAACACAACATAGAAACTAGACTGAACACCACGAACCCCTTCCAAAAAACCGGGATGATCTCACGAAATCCTTAGATCTGAATCGCGGAAAAGACTAAACATGTCCGTTTTCGATCATACATTTTGTATAAGTTGTATAATGATAAGGATTGGCAAATGTAAATTATGGAAGGAATAAATCGACCGAAAATTGACACCAAGAGAAAATAACATAAGTACGACGAATTTTTTATTATAATATCTTTATTTCGTATGTTGACTAAAATCATAACTTCATTGAATCAGATTCTAATCCTGACAGGTGATTCTTCATTTGTTTTATTTTTTCTGATGCTCATTTAGTTTTTATTATACAAATGTAATGAATAACCACTATACCCTAATTAAATGTCCTCGACTTGGATAGACTGTGTCATCTTTAATCAATGTCTTACTTCTTAACCCTGTACAGTTCACAACAACGTCATATACATCTGCAAGCTTAAAAATAAAGAAACACCAACAGTAACATATATCACAACAATGTTATAATGCACGAATCTATAATTTTTCTAGTAAATATATGAAGTGCTCATTTGAATCATTTATATTTTAAAAAGTGCATAAACGATCAACCATTTATTGTCTTATTGAAGGGAAAGCAATGCATTTTAAGAATTGAAGTCAGGCTGAGATTAACTATCGAAAAGAAGCATGTTTGATTTCTATCACGCTATTATAATTAGCCAAGATTGTTCAAACCAAATTGAGAAAAAGCAACTTTTAGCAGAATCTATATAAAAATATGTAGAGTTTGATTCGACTTCGTTCTTCTCGTGCCTTTCGATTTTAAATTATTATTCTGCTTATCTGATTAGTTGATATGAAGTAGAATGGTGTATATTCTAACGTTGATATAAGTGAAGTCCATATTGACATATATCAAGACCGCTTCAATTATCTGATTTTCATATTAGTTCCATCCTAACAGGATGAGCACCGTACCTTCGACGGTTCCGAAGCAGGCACATAGTGTACCCATTCGGCGTTTCCGTTAAATATGATTTCTACATAATCCCACTTTAAAACTGTCCATAAGATTCTCGTAAGTAATGTATAATATATGCCCTGAAATGGGAGTTGGGAATTAACTGTCTTATAAAAATTGTTACCTGGTTAAAATCGTCAATGGTTTTACTCTCAATTATTCCGCCATTCTCTAACCACCTTAATAAATAATAATAAAAAAGTTAACAACTTAGTTCTCAACCTCTTTCATGTCTGGGAATTTCTGTTTAATGTGTCAAGTATTTTCCAGCTGAAATATATCCAAGGTGCAAAATGTTATGTTTGCAAGTCAAGGATTCATGAACAAACTTATCAAAGACAAAAATCTGCATGTAACGCAGATAAAACATTTTGACTAAGAACTACGTGTAAAACGGGGAATTAGCTACGATCCAGACAAGAACCGTTTCATTGGCTGATTATGCTCACAAAAAATTTGTTCTTACACAAATAAACGATGTTTTACATTTATTTTCAAAAAATTTATAACACCTTATCAAACATATTGAAATAAGTTGTCATCATACTATTGCACTTCGGCCTTGTCTGTTTATTCATATTGATGTTTACATCGGGTCACAAGACCATCGGTTTTCGGGGGTAATCCTAAATGCACATGAAACGCTGATACTGTATTACGATTGTACGTATTGTTTATTGTTCCCTATAGAACTTTTGTAATTCTAGTAAAAAAATTTAGTATGTTCTTAATCAAACAAAAGAGTTTGTGTGGTAATGAATATGGCAGCAAATACCCATTTCAATTTGAATACTTTATACATACTTGTTCATCAACCAAGGTATATAACGCGTACAACAGATTATTACTGTCGTCACATGATAGCCATGTCTACAAAAAAGTATAAAATTTTCAATTGTTTATCATGAAAAATATTGTATTGACTCCTTTTTTCTTGCGTACAAAAAAAACTAAATCTTGTATCTTTGATGAATTTTTTTTTTGTATAGCGACATAATATTTCCCATCGAACGTAACGAAAACTTAGCGTGCATTATTCTATAATTTTATACATGTGAAAATATAGTTACAAATTAACGACGTTGGTACCGTAACGTTAATGTTATCTGACAGTATTTTCAAGCTTAGCTAAACAATAAAAGGATCATTGCGTGAATATTGGTGAATAGTAATATCCAATCAAAATAGAAAATGGTTTGTAGTTTATTACTACCCGATGATTAACGCGAACAAATAGGTCTGAAAAAAATATAAAAAGAAAAAGACCTGAAAAATTAAACGCTAACAATTTTAATTTATTGGTCCACAAAGCAATGTTTGCTTAGAAATTTTGAAACTCATTTAGAAAAAAATATTGCATAATAAATAATCTGCTGTTTGTCAAAGAAATAATTCATACATCTTGAACGATTCGATTTTCTTTTGCTATGGTACAACATTAACGATACCAACTTTTCTGCACCAGATGCGCATTTCGACAATAATTGTCTCTTCAGTGATGCTAAAATTCAAAATATTTGAAGATCCAAAGATCCAACTATAACCAAAGCTGGGCAAGGAATCAGAGCTATGTATGAGGGAAATATATTCCTTAATTTAAAATAATTTCCAAAATTTTGTAATATCAAATTTTAATGACACAAAATCCATATTTTCATGCCAGTACCGAAGTACTAGCTACTGGGCTGGTGATACCCCCGGGGACGAACAGTTCACCAGCAGAGGCATCGAGCCAGTAGTAATGATAACATTAACGATACCATTTTTTTCTGCACCAGATGCGCATTTCGACAACAAATGTGTCTTCAGTGATGATCAAGGTCAAAATATTTGAAAATCCATAGCGTATTAAAAAGATGAAGAGCTATAAACCAAAAAGGACAAAACAGTATAGCCAAACAAAGCTGGTCAAGGAATCAGATCTTTGCATAAGGGAGATATATTGAATCCTCAATTTAAAATAATTTCCCAAATTTTATAACAGCAAATTCTAATAACTCAAAATCCATATTTTCTTGCCAGTTCCGAAGTACTGGCTACTGGGCTGTTGAAACCCCATGAGGACTAACAGTTCACCAGCAGAGGCATCGACCCAGTAGTAGTGATAACATTAACGATACCATTTGTTCTGCACCAGAAGCCAATTTCGACAACAAATGTCTCTTCAGTGATGCACGAGGTCAAAATATTTGAAGATCCAAAGTTTGTTAAAAGGATGAGGAGCTATAAACCAAAAAGGACAAAACAGTATAGCCAAACAAAGCTGGACAAGGAATCAGATCTTTGCATGAGGGAAATATATTGAATCCTTGATTGAAAATAATTTCCCAAATTTTGTAACAGCAAGTTTTTATAACACAAAATCGGTATTTTCGTGACAGTACTGAAGTACTGGCTAGTCGAAAGGTGATACCCCCCGGGGACGAACAGTTCACCAGCAGAGGCATCGACCCAGTTGTAGTGATAACATTAACGATACCAATTTTTCTGCACCAGATGCGCATTTCGACAATAAGTTTATCTTCAGTGATGCTCAAGGTCAAAATATTTGAAGATCCAAAGCTTATTGAAAAGATGAAGAGCTTTAAACCAAAAAAGAAAAAAACAGTATAGCCAAACAAAGCTGGTCAAGGAATCAGTTCTTTGCATGAGGGAGATATATTGAAACCTTATTTTAAAATAATTTCCCAAATTTTGTAACAGCAAATTTTTATAACATAAAATCGGTATGTTCATGCAAGTACCGAAGTACTGGCTAGTGGGCTGGTGATACCCTCGGGGACTAACAGTCCATTAGCAGAGGCAACGTATATGCTGAATATGTCATGTGGGAATACGATGCGTCATTTAGATGAAATAGAGGGTAACCTCAGGGACACTTATATACTCGTACCCCAAAATATACAGTACATTTCAGTTAAAGTATGAAAATATTACTTTAGAAAAACAGTATATCAGAATCAAAAAGTCAAATGATAAATCCCTCTTTTAATAAAGGTACAAAATGTCCGTGATAAACCTATGTTCCGGAAACCTTAGTAAAGTTGTTAAATTTTGCATTTTGCTTGTGTCCTGGATGACTATTCATCCAGGAAATATAAGAATAAGAAGATGTGGTATGATTGCCAATGAGACAACTCTCCACAAGAGACCAAATGACACAGACATCAACAACTATAGGTCACCGTACGGTCTTCAACAATGAGTTACACCCATACCGCATAGTCAGCTATAAAAGTCCCCGAAATATCAAATGTTAAACAATCCAAACGAGAAAACTAACGGCCTGATTTATGTCCAAAATAATGAACGAAAAACAAATATGATATACAGCAACAAACGACAACCACTGAATTACAGGCTCCTGACTTGGGACAGGCACATAAAGAATGTGGCGGGGTTTGAAGTTTGAAGTCGCCAACCCTCCCCTAACCTGGGACATGTTTTAGGTATACTGAAACCAATATCATACTTAGAGGGTACCGCTCCTGAAAGATACGATTCGCACAGTGGCCAGTGATGCGGTATTTACATGAATTAGTTGATAGATTTTGATTGGAAAAATTCAGCTTACGTAATGATATCAAAAGTAGTAAAACAAAAGCTGCAATGATTTTGGCAACGGTCATCTTAGACGGGGTTGATTGTTTTGTTCAGGTCATTTTGGTTTTTAAGCTCGAAATGTTAACTCAAAGCGCACTAAAAATCAATATAATAAGTTTAATTACAGTATATGCAAATACTTTGATATATATTTATATTTTATCTTACATGTTTCATTAAATCTCAGCATCTTGAAAACTACAAATATGTTCATCAAGCAAACAAGTTCAACAGTTTATATAGATATAAGAAGATGTGGTATGAGTGCCAATATTGAATATAGCATGATTTACAAAGATATTTCCATGTCCCCATCAACAATTTATATTTATATATATTGACAACTTCTTTTCAAACATAGCAACCAAACTAGTTTGATTGTTTGAATTTAACTATCATACATAATTAAGAGTTACAGAATTCAAGTTCTTAGCCTTTGGTTTTTTTTTTCTCTCGTAAACCAATTTGTTTAACACATAAATAAACTTTGCGCCAATACATGCAATATAATCAAGATTGACTTTAATGAGTTGCTGAGGCCAAGGAACACCTAAGCGCGACTCAGACTAGGGGTGGAAAGTTTCTGTTTCGAAATCTTGAAATATCCATTTTTAAGTAGATAAATTATACAACAATAAAACCCTGTAGTATAGACGAAAACGTTTTGAAATATCCCTTTAATCCTTCCCTCCCTCTAGCATGCTTCGTCCTTTCACTTTGAACAAGTTGTCACATGACTGAGTTATTTCATTCCGTGTGTATAGAATGTTTAGTAACTTTAGCCATATGATCACGATGACCTACATATATTAACGAAATTTGCCTATTCATCCTATTTATCGCATGCTTTATCACATGTCAACCTATTGCATTTATTTGCTCACGTGATTATTAGTGCTGTGATGAAATAACGCGAGATCGCAATACATTGTTCAAGGTGGAAGTATATTAAGGAAAATTGTTGAGTTGATTGAAATAAGACTTTTGCAGCAATCTCGGACTAATCACTGTCGGGCTGCTGACCAAAAATAAGTTATTCTGTTATGTAGTACCCGAGAAAAAGTTTGAATGACGAATAGACGGACAGAGAGACAAACGTATGGATAAGAGAATGCAATTTGGCCCCCACTCCTACATTTGGGTATAATTTGCTCTTTGTCTTGTAAAGAACATAATTTATTCAAATGAAGATAAAGAAGCAGTGTAAGAAACTGTAACATGTGGTTGTATTTATATATTATTGTCCCTTGATTTATGTTGAGGACATATGTAACAATGTTTGAAAAATCTGAAACTTAAGACTATTATCAGTTTAAAAATTGAAAAGGATTAGTCTGTATCCATGCCAGGAACAATACTGTTAGATTGGTTACAATAGGCATGTTGGATTTATTACGAAGAATAAATTTCTGTAAAAAGTTGAAAACGTGGGCTAAAATAATAAAGTTTTATTCGTTTTACTTAGGACTTTGCAAAACAGTTTTGTGAGATCATAATTATGAGAAAATGTTTATCCATATTGTGTCTTATGATATACATAACCTTCCATAAGCTTGAGTCAATGATACATGTACAACTCAAAGGTAGGAAGAATGACACTATCGCAAACATGACCTCCTGGAATATCACATTTGGACATAATTGACAATTTTAACAATTCTTTTTTTAATCTTTCACAATTTTGAGAGGATAACCTAACAATACGTTAGTGTACATTGTCTAAAATGACAATTTCTAGATGATTCCCCGACAGATATATTTGACTGGCTTTAATATTTTACTAGAGTCAAATGAAATTTTAAAAAAGAATTATGGACAAGTATTCTACGTTTAAAACATACTTGTACTTTTTGTCCATTCTCATTGCTTTGAGTTCAGTATCAGTCATTTTGGCATAGGAATAGACAAACTCAGCAAATAATTCATTCTGAAATTAAAAAAAAAATATTATCTTCATCTCATATGACCTTTGTCAAGTAGAGCTACATTCTTTTATATTCTTGAATGATAATGATGTTGATGTGAACCTCAGCTGCATCGCTGGACATAACAATCCCAGTATAGAATAAGTACAATTGGAATAATTCTTCTATATATAACAATATCTGTCACATTATATCATACTGTATAATATCATGTGTGTTGCTTTAATTGTATATGTATCTCATTATCAACGTTGTTTTTAAATATCCCCTGTTGGACCTTAATTGGAATAATAAACATTTGATTTGATGATTCTGTTTTCCCTGCAAACGAAACTTGATTTAAAAACCTCTATAATTAAAATAATACTAGATAAATTTGCTATAACTGTTTCAAAATCAAAGTGAATTAGAGTGGAAAGGCTTTTTGTTTTGTTATTAGTACAATTCGAGCAGCGCATGCATATATCTCCCAGTTGATACAATATCACAAAGCTTGTATTTCCTATCACGATTTCCTTGATAAACAGTTGCTGCTTATATATAAAATAAAGCTATTGAACCAAATGTTCCTTTGGTAAAGTCGATGCCATCATGATTTGATTGGCCGTTCAGAAATATATGTGTCAAAGATGAGCATTGATTAGCACTTATGTGTTGACATTAGTAATCATTGATATGACCATATTTATAAATTAATTAATCATAAAACTTTTAATTTTTCGAAATATTAAGGATTTTCTACCCAAGGAACTATAAACTACCCTAGCTGTATTTGGCAAAACCTTTCGAAATTTTGGGTCCTCAAAGCTCCTCAACTTCGTACTGTATTTGACCTTTTTAACATTTTTGATTCGAGCGTCACTGAAGAGTCTTTTGTAGACGAAACGCACGTCTGGCGTACAAAATTTAATCCTGGTATCTATGATGAGTTTATAGATATGTTCCAATTGTGATAACCTCAATCCATCCTCCTTCTTCAATTATGACATCAATAATAAGTATGACTGATTAACGGAAATTTCTTAGCTATTAGCAACACGTGAGGTTCAAAAAGTGTAGAAGGATCTGCTTAATCTTTCGGAGCACCGGAGACAACCCCGATTTTTTTTCCGGATTCGTGTTGTTCACTTTTTAGGTTTCCGTGTAGTGTTTAGTCTTTTCGTCGTTTTTATTTATCTTATATTCTACTTGATATCATTGAGATGTGAATTTTATTAAAGACGGCCTCCAAATCAAATTTTCTGTAAATTGTTGAACGATTTAGTCTTGTAACTTCAGATGAAAAATATTGAAAATCAACAAATGGTGATCATTTACGGGTTATTTTTCAAATTTGACTAAATACACTATTTCATCTGTAATATCATATCTTATTTCAGATCAGAGAGATATGTATATGATTTTACAGGAATTGTTTCAACCAAACATCACTTCCATGAAATCCAGAAGCTTTGATACATCCTTTTTAATCATTACATAAAAACGATAATGAAACTAGATATTGAATTAATCTAATTTACATGGTTAAGTGCAAATAACCATATTAACGTCCAGTTGTTGAAATTACAAAAATTACTCAGTTTGGTAGGAACACTTAAAGCCATCAATGAAATAACCTTCTTAAATTGTTATATCTAGATGAAACGATAAACGAAAGGAAAAATAATAATGTTGCATCAACACAAAACTTGCAAAACATACATTCTTGTCACTCTTTTTACCGTACTATCTTATATACTTGTAAAACCTCTTTGAACCGTACTATTTGGAAACACTTCGAACATGTCTTTCAACCGTACTAATTTGAAACTCTTTAAACATGTCCTTTAATTCTACTTTAAGTAAAGACTTCAAAACTATCTTCGAACATTTTTATATAAAAAGATTTTGGGGAAATTCTTCAACTGTCAGAAAAAGCTACTAAGGGGAAACTCTTCAAACAACAGACAACACCATGTCCAAAAAATACGACAGACAACACCATTGCCAAAAAAATACGACAGACAACACCTTGGCCCAAAAACGACTATCAACACCAAGGCCAAAAAAACACGACAGACAACACCATGGTCAAAAAAACCATGACAGACAACACTATGGTCAAATAAATACGACAAAAAACACCATGACCCGAAAAAAAGAGTGATAACACCATGGCAAAAAAAAAATACGACAGACAACACCATGACCCCCAAAAAAAGACTGACAACACCATGGCAAAAAAAAAAACGACAGACAACACCATGGAAAAAAAATAACAGACAACACCACGCCCCCCCCCCCCCCCCCGCCCAGCACCATGGTCAAACTATTTGAAAGACAACAGTAAGGCAAACAACAATAAAAAACATTATACAGAAAACTCAAGATTGAGCAACAAGAACTCCATCAAAATCCGGGGTTGAACTCATATTTTCGACTTCAATAATCAGAATATGTTTCATCTTTAGTAATATTATCAGATAAATAACCAGGGAATGTTATTATAAATAAGAAGATGTGATATGAGTGCCAATGAGACAAGTCTCCGTCCAAGTCACAAGGAATTTTTTACTTATTATATAATACTGCAGTATTTAGATCTCAATAATAGATTGGTAGAAATAAAATTAATCATCTAGAAAATAATGCATTATTCAGAAAATTGAGCAATATAATCCCCACTTTTAGCGGGATAATCTCAGGAATTTTACAAGAATTAAAAAGATGCTATGTAAAAATAGATCTTACGGTAAGAATTTCATTTGAGAAGAAGTAGCCAGGAACTAGCTGACAACCAGTTTCTGCTGCCATATCTGTCAAAGTCATATTGGAAAACCATTCCCATGAATCTGCTATCCATCTCCTAAAACAAGTTTCTTATGGTTATATTGTGATACAAAAATACATATAAAATCAGGTGTATTAAATAAAATTTCGCAACGAAACAATAGATATATTATAACAACAACAAAAATTTCAATGTCTTCGTATATTTATATCTCAAAACGGCATGTGTCTTTTACTTTTTTGTACAAGCTAGTGGTCACAAAAGATTACATTAGGAGGTTTGTGCCCACGTAAAGCTGGTTAAAGCTCCGCCACACTTTGTGCCTGTAACATTTCATGCTATCAGAACCATGTGTTGTTTATCTTTTGCATCAATTCTGTCGAATGATTTGGAAATTAGTGATTTATTGCGTTTGGCAGGTCCTTTCATCCTGTTTAAGTATTGACTTTCAAATGTTTCATATATCGCATTCTGAAGCCCGACTATCCATTACTTATATTACCTTAGTAAATCTATTGGAAGGCCTGGAATATGTTTCATTGTAGGACGAAAAAGTCCTCCCGCTCCATAACTTGTCGTTTCACTATTGAATCGATCAGCTATTACTGTCACTTTAGCAGAAGGAAGTAACTTCTTGATATTTATGGCTGTTGACAATCCTACTACTCCAGCTCCGAGCACTGCGATATTCACCATATTGTTTATCTGCAACAAAGACACTATGAATAATGGATGCAGGATAAAATATTTAAATACTTACCTTTGCTTTACATTTCCCTACTTTTTGTCCTTTTTTCATATAATATTACAGCGGTATGCTGTGTTTCGTGTATGTTTTACACCTTTTATTTTTTTTTCTTTTATTTTGATTCATATCATTTTATTAAAAAAAAAACCAACCCAACTTTTGTTTGTTTCAGATATACGATCTCATTAACGTTAATAACATACTATGAATAAAGGTTCAGACAGTGTTTACCTAGCCGAGTTTGGTTATTCTTTTATGTTCCTTTCTGAAAAATAACTCCGAACATTTCTATATATATAGATTCTACCACTGCATCGAGTGTGATACGATATTTATCAACTCGAGACAGTTAAATTTTCAAATTTAAAACGCGAGGCTCGACGAGCGTTTTAAATATTTAAAATTTAACTGTCGAGAGTGGATAAATATCGTATTACACGAGATTTGGTGGTGGAATCTGTTTCTCTAATGATTTTCAAACAATACGCAGGCAAATTTATTCCTTCTTTTCGAATGATCTGCAAAAAGATGTGTTCTTTCTATGTGACGTCATCAGGCATGGTCGCCTTTTTTCATGCCGTCACAATAGGAAATTCAGAGGAAAGCAAGAAAATTCGACGTCATAATCGGATTTTAACCAATGAAGAACTGAGATCAAACGAACCACACGTTGATTAATTTTTTTTCTATACAATGGGTGCAGAAAGGGATAAATTGACGAAGAATTAGAGAAATATATTTATCTACATATCTGGATTTCAAATGCTTGGGTTTGAACTTCAGATGCACGACATTAAAAAAGTGTTAATTTCATTGAATAATTTTCAGTAGAAATCATTCATATTTTACAACTACCAATCTTCAAAAGTAGTTTTAGTACCTATCTAACATCAAACTAAGACATGTATATCAAATAGAAAATTGTGGCTTTTAGCAAATTCATATCAATTAAAATACTCATAGAGTCTAAGAAGTAACAAAATACGCAATGGTATTTAAAATCATAAATCAAAGCACAGTCAACTCTACAGCTAAATATCAAAATAAAAAAAAAACAAAAAAAAAACAAAAATCCCAAACAGTTTACAAAACACATCAAAGCAAGATTGAACAGCAAGAACCACACAAGAAACAAACCGATGTGAACGTGCTCCCACAGGTACTAGATATCCAATTATAGTATTTAGCAAAGCGCTTATAATAAATGAAAGCTTATGATTTGTTATCTGCAAAATAAGCAAATAAAGAGCTGCGCCATGAGCGCAGGATACGCCCGTCGCTTTTTCAAAGAATAAAGTTCCATAACTCCTCAATGTTTCATGAAAACTGCTCAAATCACTTTTGAGTTACTGTTCAAAAACTGGAAAATCCCCCTTTTGAATGAATAAAACCCCATAACTCGGAAACGTAAAATCTAAAATTTATAAAAATCTAAAGGGAGTTCACGTCAATAGATACAAATAATTAACCAAAGTTTCATGAAAACTGCTCAAAGCATTTTTGAGTTATTGACCGACATGTTGACGACGGACGGACGGACAGACGGACAGACGGACGGACAACGGTATACCATAATACGTCCCGTAAACGGGCATATAAAAAGAAAAAAATATGTTGAAAAAATTTATTAGATCCTGCAGATTACGATTAAGATTTTCTTTTAAGTTATCTATACCGCCAACTTTAAGGAGTTGTCTGATAATTTTGGTGGAAAATCAAATAGTTACTAAATAACTTAATTTTGGCGGTTTTGCTTATTAATTTGAAACGTATATTAGATATACTGAACAAGTAAACAGTACAAATGAGCACAACTAACTCCTTAGAGAAGTTATTGTCATGTAATGACGACATTTGTCAACCAAATAAAGCATGTATATTTAGAAATACCTAAATGACCGAAACAACGATTGACTGCTTGTAATCATAACAGGTTATACTAGAGGAGCAGGATCTGTTTACCTCCAGGGCACTTAAGATAACCCCAATTTATGATGGGGTTCGTGTTGCTCTGTCTTTAATTTTTATGCAGTTTTTTGTTGAAATGTTGCCTTAATTATTTACTATGGCGTTGTCAATTCATTTCGACTTATGAGTTTTGAATGCATCTTCCTGCTCTTTTCTGTATATGATAGATAGACCGAAAATATAAAAGGGGCATTAGCTGTCAAATTCATGTCAACCGATTTGACTAAAGTTCTCATAATAGATTTATAACATACTAAAACGTATATCCAAATTATAAAAAGTCTAAAATAAACAATTTACGATGCACGGACTGGGTGATAATATGTATCAGCATTGTGTGTGTATTTTAGTCTAGACGCCATCTAATTAACCATCGAGGTGAACTCCGAAGACTGCCGACGGTCATATAACCGGATATAAACATAAACATAGATATAAATTGATAGCGAACTCGTGCAATTGGATTTTTCTAGGTCTGTTTGATTTCTTATTATAGGTTTAAAACATATGTTAATAATCGTTTTTACCTGTATAAGAATGAGTTTTTGTAGATCAAATCAGTCAACCAACCTTCCAATGTTGATAAAATTGAGAATGGAAATGAGGAATGTGTCAAAGAGACAACCCGATCAAAGAGCAGAAAACAGCTAAAGGCCACCAATGGGACTTCAACACAGCGAGAAAATCCCGCACCCGGAGGTAGGCTTCAGCTGGCCCCTAAACAAAAATGTGTTCTAGTTCAGTGAAAATGGACGTCACACTAAACTCCAAAACATATAAATGAACTAAAATTAAAAAAACATACAAGACTAACAAAGGCCAGAGGCTCCTGACTTGGGACAGGCGCAAAAAATGCGGCGGGGTTAAACATGTTTTGTGAGATCTCAACCCTCCCCCTATACCTCTAGCCAATGTATAATAAACAAACACACAGCAATACGCACATTAAAACTCAGTTTAAAGGAAGTCCGAGTCCGATGTCAGAATAGGTAAGAAAAAAACTAGGCAAATGACAATGATACATAAATTAACAAAGGACTACTAGCAGTTACTGACATGCCAGCTCCAGACCTCAATTAAACTGATTGAAATATTATGTCTTCATCATATGAAAATCAGGTACAATCCCTCCCGTTAAGGGTTTAGTATCATACTATCATAAAATATATGAGAAGAACATAACCCGTATCATGCCAACAACTGGTTTTAATGTGTTTATTTCCGATGCAAAGACCCTATGAGTGAATCAATATTAATACCAAATGTGCCATCTTTAATGACCTGACAACAGTATCGGAACTATATCCCTTCTGAATAAGTCTGTTTAAAAGGTTTGGTTAGCTTTTGAGGCGAATGCCAACATTTTTGTGCTTTGTATAGAATATTACCATAAGAGCTTGGATGTGAAATACTTGAACGTATAAGATGTCTGCATGTTGATTTATATTTACGAATGAGGTCCTTGTAACGATGATAAAATTTAGTAAATGTTTTGACTAGTTTGTGATATCGAAAACCCTGGTGTAATAATTTTTCCGTAATACAGAGATTTCTTTCTTTAAAATCAAATACGTTGTTACATACACGAGCGAATCGAACAAGTTGAGATATATAAACACCATAAGATTGTTCATTGTTAGTATTAGCTTTATTTAAAGTCAGTTCAGCAGGATAAATCTCTTTAGTGTACATACTGAAGTCGTCTTTATTGAGTGCCAATATATCATCCAAATGTCTAAAAGTGATATTAAATTTTTGTATCAGATGTTGTTTCGATGGATCTTGGCTTATTTTAGTCATAAATTGTAACTCATAACTATACAGAAACAGGTCCGCAATAAGTGGTGCACAGTTAGTCCCATTCGCATTCTGACTTTTTAAAAGCCCATTTAGTTAGGTGTGTGAATTTTTCTTGATAAGATTATGAGGCAAAGTGGTATATACATTCTTTTTTTTAATATCTGAACACGCCTAGTTCATGTGTAAACCATCTCTAGCTAAAGGGTTCAGTTGAAGTTCACATGAATACGGATCTAAAGAGGTTGAATTATTCACTTGCAATTGAATAATTCAATAGCGATGTTTCTTTGCTTATTTTAACAAAATTAAACCAAACTGGCTGCTAATAGCGAATTATGATATCACTATTTCACTTTCATTAATGATTGAACAAAAACAAATCATATTTTTTTTTTTCTATATCTCGTAGCTAATGCCCCTTTATTGCGTATAAAAGATATACAATATTAGCATTTCCACTTGTTACCAGCAGTAAAAAGACTTAGTTTCATAGCAAAACTGTTCGTGGACTTCTTATTGGAATCAAAGCTCTTCAATGCCATTTTTTGTACCGATTTTCGATAAAATTGAGAATGGAAATGGGAAATATGTCAAAGAGACAACAACCCGACCAAAGAGCAGATAACAGCCGAAGGCCACCAATAGATCTTCAACGCAGCGAGAAAATCCCGCACCCGGAGGTGGTCCTCAGCTGGCCCCTAAATAAAATTGTGTACTGGTTCAGTGAAAATGGACGTCACACTAAACTCCAGGTACAATCCCTCCCGTTAGGGGTTTAGTATCATACCATCATAAAATATACGAGAAGAACATAACCCGTATCATGCCAACAACTGGTTTTAGAATAAATGTGTTTATTTCCGATGCAAAGACCATATGAGTGAATCAATATTAATACAAAAAATATACAACCCTTAATGACCTGACAACAGTATCGTAACTATATCCCTTCCGAATAAGTCTGTTTAAAGGTTTGGTTAGCTTTTGAGGTGAATGCATTTTTGCTTCGAAGACCATCGAAATCAAATGAACCAATCTGAACAAAACTTGACACTATTGATGCTTAGTTGGTTTAGACTTCATTTGTGATTGCATTATGAGTTAACTACTAACAATGACTTCATAATCAAAAATAAAAATAGTAAAACAAATGCAAATAATTGTTTTTTTTCACAAAATATGAAGTGGATAGAGAAAATATGACGAGAGAAAAAATGGATGGAAATTTAAGATCATCTGCAAATCCACCAACTGTAAGACGATTTCTAATTAATATGACTGCCCCTGAATAATGATCTTCATGAACTTTAAACAATTTTGGGGTATCTTGGATCTTATAATAGATAGAAAAACAGTAAAAACAATAGCGATGAACAAGCATATAAAGATCTTTCAATTATTTTATTGGTCGTTAATTCATTTATTACTAGCAGTGCGCAGGAGGGGATCTTTTGATTTGGGTGGAGATTTTATAATATTATTTTATTTTTGTTTAACGTAAATATACCAGTATGACATATTTTTTCCCGACTGGTCGACTTAAGCTGCTTGAAACCTTTATAGTTTTAAGTAAAAGCAACAGAGGTTTACCGATGTTTAAATCTCGTAAATTCATATTTAAGATACAACCCAAGTGAAAACAACTGATGGAATCGTATATCAACCAAAAAGGAATGAGTGGTGGAGGGTGGAGGGTGGAGGTCCAAGCATGATTTGAATTCAACTTTAAAAAAATGTATAGAGAAAGCACGCAGATTGACGTAGATCTATATATATAGGCAGTCAGCAGGGTTTAAGAACATCACATTAAATAATGGTGAAACCACATCAAGTAATGACAGAACCATATTAAATAATGACAAAACTATATCAATTCAATACGAAACCATATCATGTAATATCGAAATATCATTATGTAATGACTATTCCATATTGAGTTATATCAAAACATCATTACGTAATGTCAAAACCATATTATGTAAATACAAACTATCATCAAGTAATAATAGAACAACATTATATAAATAACACATAGCTGAGAGGGTGATAGAGCAGCTTTTTCGAGGGGTACCAATCTGCTCTACCACCCTCTCAGCTATGTATTATTTAATTTATTATACTGAATGTCCTATCATTATTGTCTTTTACAGATTAATTTTATTGTAAAAGTATTTTCTATGACGTCACGTACATAACAACGTTACGGGTATTAGAAAAAACAACAAAAGTGAGGCAAGATGTTTTATTTTTTATTTTGACAGTCAAATAATAAAATCTGAGCCAAAACGTAGAACTTAAGCATTGTATTTAATAACTTGATGTAAATTCAATTTATTGTCCTTTAAATTATCGATTTTTGATTGGTCTGGACGAGAGGGTGACATTAAAAAAATTGTCACCCGCTCAGTCATGTGATAGAGTAAATTAGCACCCTCGTATTAGCCAATCAAAATATGGCATTTTAACGTGAAGTATAATAAAACGTAATATCAGAGTTCCACATAAGACAGCTGTGGCGTTCCATACTTTACCTATACTCCATAACGTATTTTGATTTAATACACATAATTTTAAACATTTTCATTGTAACAGAAAACCCATACACCAATACATATATCGAGTATAGTTATATGTAACTATTTTACCTTCACATATCAATGTGCCACATATTCTACTTTGACATGTATAATAGATTATTAATTGTTGTACAATGTATCTATAATAACGTAATAATATAATGGTAAATTGTGTAGCATTCACATTTACAAAATATGATAAGAATGATTAAGATTTTCTGTTACAAACGCAGTTCCACATTCAAAAAATGTTTAAAATGAATTTCTATAAATAACTTTGTTGCTTACCTGAACAGCTGAGTGGCAAGTACTGAAGTCCGATACATAGTTCTAATTTGCGCCCACATAAGGTCAATCATCTTATCTGAGTTAACATGTACATGTTGCATGTCAATAAAAATAAAAGGATCGTGTGCTATGTGCTTACACACAGTTTGTGTCCTGATATCATCATTTTACCTTTAATCGATAGAGACGGTTCATTGGGAATGAACTCAAACTAGCAACAAATCAAACTGTGTCATTGCATTATTTGGGGGAACCCATTTTGTATCTACAACTCCTCCTAAATCCCTTTATATAAATTATTGAAACTTTCTTACAATCTCATCAATAATGCTAAAGTGCATCAGAAAATTTTTGCGGTTTTCCCTTAACCAAAGCATACACTTTAATTACCATTGCTTCATTTGAGGGGGTACCCAATTTGTATTCGCAAGGGGGGATTCGCAACTCCTCTAAACTTGAACCCCTTATTATAATTTATTGCCTTTCTTTCTCAATCTTAACCATACTATAGGTTAAAAGGAATTAATTAAAGATGACTGCCACCACCTAGTTTTTCTTCCAAGATAATAGATAAAAGTAAATTTATGTTATGCTGCCCTGTAAATTAGAAAAGAAAATTGAAATAGTGAGAAATGAGTGTCGGCTATTGATGTAGAAATAACGAGAAAGTTGGAGGAAAATCTGTGATGAGCAAAATTTTCTGTGCAAAATTAAGCAAGGGGTGTTCTTCATTCATACTATTTCGAAAATTCCGGAACCATAGAGTACCCTTAAAAATGCAATTTTTCTATCAAAAAAACTGCGGCACCATATGTGTTTTGCAGTTTTATTTCCAATATATAAAAAAATCATACAAATCTAATACCATCTTTGAAAAATAAAAGCTTAATCCAGTTGATCAATTGCAACCTATCCAGAAACTAAATAGTGCTACATTTTGATAACTAAATAGCTATAGCCCATAAATAGTATCCAAAAATCCAAAGCTGTTGAAAATGTAAAATTTGTCACTTTTTTCAACGGATTTTTATAGTGAAAACGCAAGCCCAAAAAGGCTACCAAGTCACCTATGTAAATAATTACATCATTTTAACCTGTACTGGTATTACGCACCTCCTATCTTTTTTTTTGTTCTCTGCAGCAAATTATGTGAACACTACAGCACACATTTATATAGACTTTTCTTCTAAGTCCCTCATCAAAATTTGATGAAAATGTCTCAGAATCTTCATCATATAATGCCACTGTGCACCTCCTATTTTGGAACGTTTGCTTACCAAAGCACTTTGCAAAAGGTGGAGTATCATTTTGTGAGCTTTGCTCTAAGTACCTGTATTTTATTTTGTGTCTTTATACACTCTGACTACGAAAATCATGATGTTAGTTTAATGATTTCTCTACAACTAGTGAGAAAAAAATATTAGCATATCTGGTTAAAGAGGGGGAGGTTAAGCCCGCAAGCATGTTTAACTACGCCACCTTGTTTATGTATCCCGAACCAGTAGACTGATATCCACAGTGTGTTTGACGTTTGGTGTTTCACATAGCTGATTTTCGTTTATTGTTGAAGTATAAATCAGTTTGGTAGTTTTATCTATAGAATTGTTTCTCATTTTGTAAACATAGTGCCCTTTAACACCTACTATACGCTATGGGTTTTTATTCATTGTTGAAGGCTCTACGGTGTCCTACAATTTTTCACATCTTTGTCCTTTGGTATATATTGAAATTTGTCTAACTGACGATTATACCATATCTTAATGAGTTTCAATGTCCTTTCGGTAGCTTCCACCTCTTTTTTTTTGTAATTTTATATGTGATTAGACACGATTGAAATCAATGAAAACAATAAAGTGAGCTCAGATAGGTCTACAGTGTAATCATCTCCTGCAAGAATTTCATCGACTTAAAAAGATATTCTAGAATAATCTATGTCTAGACATACGGCTTACTGAAGAGTGACAAAATCATTAGAAAAATCCTCATTTGAACAGTTGACAATTGTCTATCATGTTCATTGCTTGGGACAGTTATTTTCGAATACTGTATTATTAGCATTTTTGTGTTGACACGAATTATCGTTGGCGTTTTCATTTTCTGTAAATTGAATCTTTGTAAAATGATGAATTATTCGAAACACTAAGGTTTTTCCACCCCAGTCATAGATTGCCTTAGTCGTAGTAGGCACAATTGTTCAGAATTTTCGGTTTTAAATGCTCTTTAACTTCGTATTTGATTTGGCCTTTTAAATATTTTTAAACATGCAGTGCCACAGATGAGTTTTATATAGACGTCATGCGCCTCTTGCTTAGCAAATTATACGCCTCGTATCTTTGATGAGTTTTTACCCGTCGTGCGATTTCAAAGTCAATACAGTGCTTCGTGTTGATGCCAAACCCAACTAAAACTAAATTAATAAAAAAATTAATGATATAAGTCATGTTAGATCTTTGATAGAGAAATCATGTATATAGAAAAACAACAAGCAGAATAATGATAGATAAGGATTTCTAAATTAACAATCGTTGCGTTGTTTAATCTTGATCAGGATATCCCTGTTGATAAATTATCCAAATCTTCTATATTTCGAAAACTCTATAAAAAAGATTTAAGATACAAAGAGGGCATGCAAAGTCCGAAGAGAAACTGCTGAAAACACCATGCCATAAAGCTAAAGACTACGAAAAGACAAATAAGTCCACACATCCGTATCAAATTGAGGCGACAGTAATTTACCAATGTTCAAATCTCTTAAATCAATTAGGAAGAGACAAACCAAGGTAACAAACAAAAAACTGAGTAAATCACATGAACTCCAAAAGGGCCAAGACCGGGTTGTCGACAGGGTATGCGTTTCCTGCTATACATGCATAACCCGCATCAGATTGTCTTGGTATAAATACTCATTTAACATCACTTTATTTAAGGTTTTATCATTTTCGGACAATGTGAATGAATTAAAAATAGAAGAGAGTGAATTCATCTCAGTAATTATTTTGCTAGATATCTAAATGCCATTAGAGAACTACATTTATTCAGTTCATGTCTGTATACCCCCTCTTCAAAGATGATGGTACATAGTGTTTCACATGTCCGTCCGTCTGTCATACGCTTTGTTTCAGAATAATAATCGAAGTACTTAAAAACAGGTAAAGTTTTATTTTGATGGTTTTGGCATTTACCGTTCAAGAATGATGCACCTTAGTTCCCATAAATTTGATTTTTTTTAAGAGGGGTTACCGGATGGTTATTGCAGTACCACATTTCCAAACCATTTGAAATTTTAAAGCAATGTCATGGCCCATTTATCATCAATATAGGTCAAGTGCAATTTTGATGGTCTCTAGAATTATTCCCCTTATGAACATGGAATGATTTTTTTTGTAAGTAATAATAAAAGTACTATTTTAACCCAATGAGAAAAAAAAATACAAGTCACGTTCAATTTAATTTGGATATTACCATTAACCGTTAAAAAGTAGGTGTATCTATATGATGAGTATATCAACTTATTCTGTTATTAGCGTTGAATATGCATTCTAAATTTTTACTCAAATGACTTCAGTAAGGTGTACTCAAACACATATACTACTGAAAACACTTGGTAATGTACAGATTGTTAAGTGAGACCTGGTGTCTATTTTTTCCAATTTGCAGCCCCAAAAAGATGTTTAAAGTTATTTATCATGTAACATACGACTGACATCTTTAATGGGTTGTCTAAAACATTTATGAAGAATGCATATTGTTTGTTTGTTAATGTTAAACCCACCTTTCACCTACCTCAGCTATATCATGGTGTCCAGTTTTTATTGATTGAGGAAACTGGAGTTCTAGGAGAAAACCACCGTCCTTCCGCAAGAAAATTGGCAATCCTTGTCAATCAAGATCGGTGTCGAACACTCCACGCAACTCAAAAAGTATTTATGTACAAAGTGTATTCCTATTTTCATCAAACTTTGTATGCATTAATTAAGACTATAAAAGTTAATAATTGCAACGGAAATCGAAAAATTATTTATGTAGCAATGTTACTTCCATAAGATATATTTAGATCTATAAATATTAATGATCTTCATTATAATTTGGTATGAACATGCATGTTTTTAATATTAAAGTGGCATTGGCTACAATTTAGACGGTACACTTTGAGAAAAATCCAATTATGTTCTTTTAAACATTTTCAAGAGCGGAATATTTTTAATAATTACTCCTATTAGTAGTCAGTTTGGTTTCAAAATGTCAATATAAGTTCAAAAACATCGCTGAAACAATATTGACCTGCAAGACAATAAACTAATTTTGGGTCCATATGCATACAACCTATGATGTGACCACAGTTGGATATTGATTGTGTTTAGCATGTTCAGTTATGATTTAAAAGAAACAAATGTCACAATCGAAAAAGAAAAACTAGGGAAGCCAGCATGATAACCGATTTCGTTGATTGGCCCGCCAAAAAAAAAACATTCTCTGATGCATGATTTTTTATTCTTAATTGTTTTTGGCTTTTAACTAGCTGTCAGTAACTGCGAGTACTCTCAAATCGTACTTTCTTGTTTATTTGACCTGTTGATACTAATTGTAACGCTTTTTGTTATTTAATGTTATTCAGGGTTATATGGTCTATATACCAGCTTTGATAAGTGTTTGGTATTACTTTAAATTTTCACTTCTTCGTACTATGAACATCAAAATTATTTATTTGTAAAAATATTTCCTTTCTCCATTTGAACTGCACACGTATACTTAACAACAAAATTATTTCATTTACCTGTGTTTAAAATAATTGCAATTGGCTGATATTTCTGTTCAAGCATATTGTTTTTCTTAAATTGTTCAACATTTCACAGCGGTATAACATGTTACTTTAATTATTCTTCCCTTAGTTTATTTATTTTGTATTTACATTGTATCATAGATCAAATTTACTTGTTCAGTGTATGTTCACTGCAGTTAATATGTCTTTTGATTGAGTTAAGCCATTTCAATTTATATTTTATAGTGTGTCTTTCTATGTTGTGATGTTAAACTATTGTTTCAGATAAGGGTGAAGGTTTGGTACCATTAAAACGTTTAAACCCGCTGCAATTGTTTGCACCTGTCCTAAGTCAGGAATCTGAAGTTCAGTAGTTGTCGTTTGTTGATGTGGTTCATAAGTGTTTCTCGTTTCTCGTTTTTTATATAGATAACACCGTTGGTTTTTCCGTTTGAATGGTTTTACACTAGTAACTTTTGGGGCCCTTTATAGTTTGCTGTTCGGTGTGAGCCAAGGCTCCGTGTTGAAGACCGTACTTTGACCTATAATGGTTTACTTTTATAAATTTTGACTTGGATGGAGAGTTGTCTCATTGGCACTCATACCACATCTTCTTATACTTATTATACCACACTATGTAAACGGTGTTCTCTATGAAATGTGTCTTCTCGTTTTCGGTGTACTGTGACTTCCATTTTACAACACAAATTGACAACAGTACATTCAATTTGGTATATTTATTTTCTAATCTATATTGATTCTTCACTTTTTAATGATCTGATGTATTACAGAATGAACTTTACATACATTAATTTGCATATTTACATAAAAGCAGATACAATTGATAAGGTATTTGGGTGTATTGTCTGAACGTTCGATTTTTCACGATTTAGATAGGACATATTGTTACTACTACTACTACTAGGGTGGTTTTTAACGACCTTGACTGACTTTTAATCCCTCGCACTGTCGGATTGGTTAAAATGTTGTTGTTGTCGTAAAGTTGAATGAAGGCGGCCATTTTGGATTTGCGTATGATGATTTGGTTTTTTGACTATTTTTATTTGAAGTACTGCCTTCAAAACGACTACTAGTATTTCCTGGACTAGATTGATCAGCTGGGTAGCCCACTAACCACATCAATGTTTAATTGGTGGATGAATCGTGGACACAGTAATAAATGTCTACAGGAAGCCTATTCAAGATCAGTGTGGTAGCTCGATATCACGTATAACTAGGCTTAGGTTGGGTACTACCACGGTGGAAAACTGGTCCATTACCTAACACCACGGATACAGGGCTCTCAGATGTCTGGACGAAAAAAACACTCTCCCATCCATCATGTGTTTTGGAGTATATGCTGACGCGGACCATTCTTTGTTGTACTGTAAGGCGTTGAGTTAGATTGCTGTAGACATGGAGTAGTGTGTCGTTGAACCATACGGCCAGCGTAACATGTTGTAGTTTGCGGATAATCAGGAGCTTATCCAGCACGTCCGTTCAGCTGTAAGGACTGAGACGTGACTGGATGATGTTGTCCGCCCTTCAGTTTTCTTTGAATATTGTTACAAATGCCAAAGCATGAATAAATTCCTCTTCAAAATCATTTATCTTTGATATGAAACAAGCATGATCCTTGATATTGATGTGTACTTTTTTATGGAATGAACATACATAGTCGGTTTAGTTTCCAAGGGTACTGTGACTCCGCGTTCATAATCTGTAAGACGGTACTGTGCCTTCACGTTTTAGTGTACTGTGACTTCGTGCAAACAGATTATGGCAGGTTTGCTCGACTCCATTTTCAATTGACTACGATTCACAGAAAATATTTCAAGCATGTGTGGAAGTAATCCTGGTTCATTTCAATACTTTGATACAGCTGTATTCTTGTAAATTTGACCTTGATGGCACGGCAAAGTTGAACTGTGTTGAACCCCCATTTAAAAATTACCCCCAATTTGCCAGAATGTAGCTTATCAATATATTTTAGAATGTAGTCGAAGCTTGCTCATTAACATAACTAAAGACTAAAAAGTTCTTCATTTATATTTTAATTTTGATGTATACATTCCCGTAATTGACACTGACACATGTATATTTTTGCATGTAAGAAAATGTTCAATGATTGTGTACATGTACATTGATTAGTTGAATTTTATTTGTGGTGTCTTACACCACTTTCAGTTCCATTTTTCGCTATATCAAGTTGGCCATTTGTTTGTGGGGAAAGCCGGAAAAAAACGGGCAAATCCGAGTATATTTTAATTTTAAAAGATCAGAGTCTACGGGCAGGATTAAACTCATAATTTCATTCTTCCCTGGCTAGGGATCGCTGTCGATGAACTACTAAGACCACTCCCTATACACATTGATATGCATTTATATTATGTGACAGGATGTATTTGAATAAGCTACAGTTATACATGTTCAATAGAGCTACAGAGGGAGAGATTATGCATGACGGCCTTGTTTTATTAAACATTCTGTATATAGGTTCAAAGTATTTTAACATTTTAGAAAAAATATATATATAATGTAACTATTGACTTGATATGCATGGAATTAATTAGTTAAAACAGCATTCTTGATGATCTTTGATGTCTTGTAACTATTCAAATAAGCATTGTATTGTGCAAATCATTCACAGAAAATACTAGCAAAACAACTCTAATGATGAAGCGGAATGAAAAGGCGATATTTGTCAAAGCGGGAGATTTTGACTGCCCTCACAGGTTACCGGTCCAAAAGGGAAGATTTCAAATTTAAAGAAAAGGGGAGTCTCCCCATAGATCTGGTATGTATATGATTACATTTAACAGTGTTTTCAGTATCATTGTCAAAATATTTTCATTAAGATCCTAAAGTATTGATACTTTAATCTTGCATTAAACATTAGATTAAATTCTATTGTTATTTGATTTATTTGAATTATTGTTTGGTCTTGTGTGTCTAGGCATGACAAAATCAAATACCAAATGCAAAAAAAAAAAAAAATACAGAATCACACCGCACATGGTAATTTTCAAGTGTTTCATCAGAACTTGCATATTTTTGTGATATCCTGAAGTCAATGTAAAGCAACTTGTCCACATTTGCAAACCAGCCAACAGAACATGACTTTAGAGCGACATATGCACATTCTAGCACACACCCGAATCCGCCCCTGCACTGGTCATTACCCTTCGCCCATTAGACAACGCAAATCTGTGTCCACACTTGTTGATAAAATAAAATTAATATATTTATAATTACATTTAATAAGTTGATTTCAACAAAGTTAACGCTTTTCTCAAACAATACAACTTAACTAAATATGAACTTAGATTAATCGTTTAAAGTAATATTCTAAAACTATTATTTGTATAATTAGCATTAAGGTAATCTAATTTATAACAAGAGTGGTAGGAGTTAAATACTGTTAAGAAGTGATAATAACGAGAGTACATTACTTTGTAGCTGGTTCAAAATGAAACTGTTTTTTCTTTTCGTTTCTTTGTTGTTTTGCCTTTTGCATGGCCAAACAATTTCCGATGTTAATACGTTGTACAAAGATTTGATGACAAATTATTCAAAAGGAGTGATGCCTACACCATCTACAGAGACATTAAACATAAGTATCGGGGTTTACATTGTATCAATCAATTACTTTCGAGAAGTTGAAGAAAGTATTTCTCTTACAGGCTGTTTTATACTCGATTGGCAGGACCCTAGACTTACGTGGAATCCATCAACATATAATAATGTAAGTGTGTTAATTATTGATATGGAAAACATTTGGGTACCTAATGTAGTTTTACTTAATCGAGTTGACAAAATTGAACCAATAGGAGATGGAATAAAATTCTTTGGAGGTGTAACTAGCACTGGTCAAGTACAATACGCTCCTGGACTCGTCGCTGATGTAAAATGTGTCACAGATATTTCCAAATTTCCATTTGACAGTCAAACCTGTACTCTTCACATAGTTCCATGGGGAACAAATCTGCCATACGTTATTTTCAAGAACTTATTCAATAGTTCTTGTAAATTAGATTACTACTCTGTCAACTCGGATTGGAAATTAGAAGAGTGCAATATACAAATAGATAATTCAAAAGAATATACTGAATTATATGTCACATTGAAAATCAAACGTTCATCATTGTATTTTGCAACAATGGTAGTCTTTCCAACGTTGCTGCTAGGTTTTTTGAACCCACTGGTGTTTATTCTTCCAGTTGAAACGGGCGACCGTGTAGGCCTATCTGTAACACTGCTTCTGTCATATGCTATTTTTCTCACTCTCGCTTCAGCATCCGTACCGGCAACATCTAATCCAATGTGTACTTTACTTATCATAATGGTTGTCATTATAACCATCAGTGGAGTTATTGTTTGTGGTACAACTATAACTATAAAATACCATTATACAGAAAGTATGGACGCTATTTGGTCTCCCTTGATTAAGTTAACAAGATGGAGATTAAGAAGAAAGTTAAACTTGATAGAACCGATGGATCCTGAAAAGGAATTTTCAATTACAAAAAAAGACGTCGTGGATTTATTGGATTTTCTGTTTTTCTATGGATCCTATATTATCCTGCTAACAGTTGGAATTGGATATTTTATACACGTTTTGATCTAATATGGTTTGTTTTATTCGTATAGGGACAAATACAAGTAATAATGTCTGCTGCAATAAAAAAACAAAAAAAACAAAAAAACATTTCGTTTCTGCATTAGTACACAAATTTTCATAAATGTATATGACAAAATGATGTTTGAAGAATAAATGTCACCTGCATTCACGAAACGAAAATTCAGACGATATTGTTCAAATTTAAAAAATCGATAGAAAACTTATCATTAATCTTTGTTTTTTTGGTAGAGCTAATGCGATTTCAGCAGAATGCCTTGGTATTACGAAATTCGCTGTTGGCATGCATCAATTCGACCTTTTGTACAAAAATTGGCATGCAATTATATGAAAAAAATATATTCATGGCAGTTATAGATTAAACAACGACACCGCTTAATATTTCAGGTATTCTTATTGATTTTAAGGGGGGGGGGGGGGGGGCTAGTAAGAGCTGAAAAATGATTTTGCCCAAGACAGGAAGTAACTGAATAATTTGCGACACAAACGCAGGAATCAATTGTGAATAAAAGTGAATCCAAACTTTCGCGCGAAAAAAAATAGCACGAGTAGCAACAGATAAAAATGAATGGTCAATCCGAAAAAATCCTCTCACTCCTGAATACCAAATTGTCGTCCCCTAAGCAATAAGATCGTTGACCTTATCTAGTTCGTACGGTGAATAGTAAAATCAATATTCTATCGGGTACTTAAATGGAAAAATTATTTGTTTCCTCAATACACAACAAAATCCATTGTGGAAACATACATCTAAGAGGTTATCGGGGGTAGGGGCGGACATGATGCTTATAAAATTTATTAAACATAACCGAGAACAAGTATGCACATCTCCTGAGATATATAGATAATTCAGCTGATCTGTAATATTCCATATTCATGCCTTATATATCATGTACTGTGTTACGACGCTAGATAAAAACTGACGAGGAAAAGTAACACCCGGCCAACACATTTTTTGTTCTTCCCTGGCCGGGATTCGAACTCATGATTCTGAGATATCGTGGTGGCACCTAATCGCCTTGCACTATGCTCGACGCGCCAGACCACTCGACCACCTAGGCTCGACAAAAATCAAGCTTTGGGTGGCCGGGTGTTACCTTTCCTCGTCAGTTTTTATCTAGCGTCGTAACACAGTACATGATAAATAAGGCATGGAGATGGAATATTACAGATCAGCTGAATTATCTATCGTAGAGGATCTTACAAATTAATGTAGGATGTAGTCACAGAAATAATTATTTTATAAGTACGTCTGAACTAGTGACAACTCTACGACAGATTTTATCCATCGGATCACCAGTGATGGTGATACAAGGCTGAAAACACATTCTGTATACATAATTCGTCTAAATAACAGCCCAACAATGTTAGATCTGTAATTTTGCGGAAGCAAATTTTTTGTTCTTCCCTCAGCGGGATTCAAACCCTTGCTTCTGTGACATCGTGGCAACACTGCCTATATATATATATATATATATATATATATATATATATATATATATATATATATATATATATATATTTACAAGTCTAAATTGAAAACAACGTTCAAACCTATGATTGCGTTGGATAAAAACCGCAATTTTTATACGTGTGCATGCAAAACAAATTTCTGGGTAGAGGGGTCTAAATACAGCACAAACAACATTTTCCAAAAGACCAAAAAAGTGAAAAAGTGAAAAAGTATATTTCAACAAAACGCATTTGACTAGCAGGTCGGACAACTGAAGGCAAATATATTACAAGCCCAAACGAAAAAATATAAACAAGCTTAAATTGAAAGCAACGTGCAAACATATGATTGCGTTGGATAAAAACCGCATTTTTCATACGTGTGCATGCAAAACAAATTTCTGGGTAGAGGGGTCTAAATACAGCACAAACAACATTTTCCAAAAGACCAAAAAAGTGAAAAAGTATATTTTAACAAAACGCATTTGACTAGCAGGTCGAACAACTGATGTTCTTAAACCCTATATAATTCGTCTAAATAACAGCCCAACAATGTTAGATCTGTAAATTTGCGGAATAAATTTTTGTTCTTCCCTGGCCGGGATTCGAACTCATGCTACTGATATATATATAATATCAAGAAACGAACCATGCTTGTATAATTCTAAAATTTCAAATATTTCAAAGTTCACACAAAATTAATATTTACAACAAAGGCTGCGCATTTATGTATCCCAAATGAAACTAATATACGCAAAATAACAAATTAAAAATTATTAACCAAAGGTTAAACATTAAAATAAATATTATGAATTGTATTTATAATTTGTACTTACAGTCTAATCACTATTTAATTTGAAAGTTGTAAAAGAAAGGAGAGTTTGAGATAATAATTTCAATAGTAAATACAAACAGGAATACTCAAACTGATATCGTTGCTGGTTCAGCATGAAACGATATTTATTTCTCTTTTTATTTTTCATTGGTCTCCCGTATGGCCAAACAATTTCATATATTAATACGTTGTACAACGGTTTAATGACAAATTATAAAAAATTAGTAAAACCTACACCATCTACCACTATAGATACATAAAACTTACGTATGGGAGTTTACATCACATCTTTTTCCTAAAGATTTTTTATATCCGTTTGGCAGAACTCGCGCCTTGCATGGGATTCGTTATATTATGGGAATAGTAGTATTTGATGATTGATACAGAAAGACACGGTTACCTGTTATAGTAATCATTAACCGAATAGACAAATTATAGAACCAATAAGAGATGGAACTTTACTCGTCTCACGATATAAAGTGTGCCACCGATGTTTCTTAATATCAAACATGTAACCTTGAACTAATCCAATGGGGAACAAGAGAATTATATTACTACAGTATTAATTAATACTGTTCATTAGAAGAATGCTGAATAAGAGAGGCAAAATATATCAAAAGGGATATTCAAACCCATAAGTCGAAAACAAACTGGCAATGCCATGGCAAAAAACGAAAAACAAAGAATAAATATAGATAATTCAAGAGAATATGCCACATTATACTACTCGTAAGTCACACCGAAGAACAAACGTTCACCATAGTCTTATACAATAATGGTAGTTTTCCTACGTTGCTGTTTGATTTTTGAGCCCACTTGAGTTTTACATATGGCGAAGAACTAAACATAATTTCATGTACCAGTTGTTAAATGAAATATTTTTTGCGGAAATTTTATAGTAAATACTAAAAAATCAATGAGCATGTTATAGCTTACATCACATAATGGATTAAGCCATTAAGACCTTACGATGACTTATAATATCGTATCAACTGTGAGATATATACTCCATATGCAGGTGCTGCTGGAATGATGCTACGTAGAAATGGAAAGTTCACAATTGGGAAGCTGAAATCATCACTTTTGTCGTTCAGCTTTGTTCCATACCGATCCTCATTGTCAATTTCTAGATGTAAGTCAAGATATGAGGTGGATGTAACTGTATCTGTTGTTTCCTTTATTTCATGTTCGATTGGATAGATGCGTTCAACATAGTCACTAAACTTTGAATTATTTAGCGGAGGGCATCATCTATATTGCGGAATGGAAGTTAAAGGATAATGCTAGCTTCTTCTTGTCATTCTTCCTAAGAAGCTCCTGTGTGAAGTAATTCCTGTATGAATATAGGAACAATACGACAAGAAGAGTAGCACGATTGGTTCACATGGGAATGCCGATTGTTTGTTGAAAAACATGTACACAAAACGTAACAAATAAGTTGCCAATCAAGATATCAAGCATCTTGATAATGAAAGTTTCCGAGAAGTTTTTGTTTGAGTCAGACTCTACAATCAATCAAATTAAAACCTATGCAGACGGAAAATATTATGTAAAATGCACAAGGAAACACTGCATTTTACACATGAAAACAGTTTAAAGGACTCGTTTTTCCCTTAGCTTGAACGTTTGAATAGGATGTATAGCATGTATTTCTAAGACCCGTGTTGTCCGTAACTAAGCTATAAAATAGTTATATATAATCCGGCAGAGAAAGTTTTCGCTGAATACACAATGACTTTATGTCCAATTATGTTTTATGCATAAATTACCAAGAAACGTTTGGTGTTTTTTGTTGTTTATATATCTTTTAAAAGCAATTAATCACTTTTCAATAAAAAACAAATAAAACCTACGTAATTAGTTTCCAAATTGAATTAATTATAGTTTACCTGACATGTTAGTTTCCGATAACACTCCCAACAAGTGCATGAAGGTAAGCAGTAACGATCTCATATTGCGCATGCAACTTTTATATTGTTTCGTACCTTTTAATTTCTAAACTAAAGTATAAACAGAAACATAGTAAGCACAAAACAAGATGATAATAATTAGCATATTGATGATACAATTTTATAGTTTTGAGGTTTTTAACTTGAGACGAAGTATACATAGTTTGGAGGTATATCGAATTTTTATGAAATTGCGTATGCATTTAGAACTCGTCAAGTTGCATTTTAGTATTGAGAAACTAATATTTGAAGCATTTAAACTACCAGAGATACAATTCAATTAACATTGTGTGAACTTGATCTATAAATGTATAGAATGTACGTTAAAAGAGCACATTTCTGCTGCGATATTTACCAAAATATTTTTCTTTATTCCCGCGAGCCTCTTTCGTCCAGAACAATTAGAAACGTTCCGTATTTCTTTTAAAGCAACACGGTGAATAAGAAAATAGGCTGAGACCACAATTACCGCCCTAGTGTTCACAATGTATTTTTCCTAATTATTTTCGCCCTCATCTTGTCAATATATTTCTATAGGTTTTACGCTTAAAATAGGCAATTTGCGAGATGCTATAACATTAGTTTTTGAAAAAAAACCAGGACAAAAATTTTAAGGTACAGAAGTGATTTGGTCAAGTTGAAAAAGAAAAAAAAAATGTAACTTTGATTCTGTCAAATATGATGCAAATTAGATAAATGTATCTATATTTTGAGTAAGAGCTTATAGATTTTGAAATAATTTTCCCTCAGAAGTAGTACAATTCAATGCAAAAACGATGGTTAGATTTTTTAAATTTACATTTATTGTTGTAAAGAAACGTATTTTCATAAAAAAGAATAGATGTTTTTGACATTCTTTGTAAAATTGGTACCGTTAATGTTATAACTACCGCTGTTAATCCTCATGGGTATAATCAGTCCAGTTGCCAGTACCGAAATTGAAATACGAAAATTGTCTAATTGAAATGTGATGTTAACGGCGGATATGTTCCAATTGTTGTAACCACATGGCATTGTCAGTTTGTTTTCGATTTATGAGTTTGATTATCTCTTTTGTATCTTTTGCGTCTCTTATAAATCATTTTAAATTACGGAATATATCTCCCTCGTGCGAAGCTCTGATTCCTTGTCAGGATTTGGCTATACTTTATGTTTTTTTAGATTTTATCAGCTGAGCAACGTTTGTATTAGGTTTTGTATTTTCAAATATTTTGGCCTCGAGTATCACTGAAAATACACTATAGTCGAAATTATCTTCTGGTGCAGTAAAATTGGTATCGTTTATGTTATTACTACCACTGGGTTGATACCTCAGCTGATGGACTGTTAGTCCTCGACGGGTATCATCAGCTCAGTAACCAGTGATTCGGTACTAGCATGAATAAACGATTATTGTCTGATTGAAATATGCTGTTATAAAAGTTTGTAAATCATTTTAAAACTAGGCTAGGAATACGTCTCCCTCGTGTAAAGCTATGATTCCCTGTCCGGATTTGGCTATACGTTAGATCCTTTTTGGTTTTATCAACCATGCAATGTTTGTATTTGATTTCGAATTTTTAAATATTTTGCATCACTGAAGAGACATTAATTATTGAAATTCCGGATTTTGGGTCTTATATATTTATATATTTTCAATCAGCTAGACGTGCAACTGTTTCACGTTGGAAACCAAAACTCCAATGAAGAATCTTGACATCAGATAAAAAAGGTAGCAATATACCAAGAGGTTATCAATAGCTTTAGTCACTAAAAGAAAGACAACACCAAGAAAAAAAAAAAAAGACAAACAAAAGTCAACACAAATCCTACCAAATCTTTGGATGAACTCAGGTGCACGCAAATGTTAAATGTCTCTTTTATACCAGTAATGGTTCTAAAATAACACCGATTTAGACATTTGTGATGAGTTAATACATTGCAGGGATTTTTACCTAAACAGGTTTTATCGTATGCATTGAGTTTGATGGCTGTACACATTAATGAGGATTTAATTTTAATATATATAACAATATATACGTGTGAAATGTATTGGTCTTAACGCTTAATTGCTTAAGTCATCCTAAATCCTAAGAGTATGGTTTATTGCCTAATTTATTTTATTGCAAAATACATATGTTAATGAAATGAATTATCTTAGCTTACACTGCTACTTTTTCATAGGTACTATTTCTGTACTAAAAATCTGTAGTACTGGAAATTAACTTTTAATATTTAGTACTATTTCTTTACTTTAAAATTATTGTAATATTTAGGTACCTGTATTTTACAGTATTTGATTTGTACTAAAAAAGTTGGTACAGAAATAATGAAATAGACAAACTTTCAAAATGCTGAAATGTAACGGTGTAACCAAAAACCTGTGGTACTTAAATTTCAAGTACAAATCAAGTACTGTAAAATACAGGTACCTAAATATTACAATAATTTCAAAGTTGATTTCCAGTACTACAGATTTTTGGTACAGAAATAGTACCTATGAAAAAGTAGCTGTGTATACCCTCTATTTCTTTTTTTTTCTTTTCTTAAATTATAGAAGAATCAAAGCCGTTTATTTAAAAACTTATTTTTAATTATTCCAGCCTTTCTCTCGTTATAGTACCAATGATTGAAATATAACGCTACATGTCTGGTATATAAAGTATATAAGCAAAGATATTTTACTAAGGTGCTTTAGATCACACTACAAACCAGTAAAGTCTGAAATGGCCTATATCTGTACTCGACTGTACTGATTTTTACTCGACCAGTCTGAATTGGTCTGAATTTTACTCGACATTACTCGACCCCAGTCTTAACCATACTCGACCGTACTGATTTGTACTTGACCCTTATCTTTGCCATTGAAAATAGTCTGAACTATTACTTGACCAGTCTGAAACAGTCTTAACCCATTCTCGACCTGTACTCGACCAATTTTTTCAGTCTAAACCATACTCGACCAAAGGTCTGAACAATACTGGACCAGTCTGAACCATACTTGACCAAAAAACCTATATTTTTTTTTAATTTTAGCTGTTAAAATTAATTTCTTTTTTTCTGACATGAAAACAGCCACAATAAAATAAAGATATATATAAAAATATATTTTTACATCCTTACATGATTCTCAGATTTATCAAATAGAGATAGTTAAATTAAATTATCTTATATAATAATTTAAGTATATTAATTTTTAAGTTTTAGAGTTTTGTTAAAAAAAAAGATTTTCTTTTAACTAAAAACCACACCTTTACTGAGGGTAATAAAACCTTATTAAGGTGCTTCTTGTTTGGCATGTGTGTGGTTTTTTTTTTAAACTTAATTTTTCTAAATTCCTAAAGAAAAACTATATAAGTTTCATGGTTATATACAATAGTTATATAATTATCTTTTTAATGAGGTAACAACAGCCAAAAAATCACTGAAATTGTTTAACCTTATATTAGAAATATATCTATTCTTATTATGATTTGGGATAATATATCAAAAGGGGATAGAAAAATTAAAGAAATAGATAAAAATTTTCTTCTGGTTAGTGGTAAAGTATAAAGTAATACCTCCTGCTTGGGGCAAACTCATAAAAAAGATCACACCTGGTCAGAGAGTATTAATTTCTAATTAACATTCATTAAAAATTGCAACATCCTGTAAAACTTAAATCGCAAGGCCTTTTGAATTCACTAGATAAGTAATACACGAGTTTAAGAAAAAAAGGGCTTTCTTTTTACCTGTAAAACACACATGTACTGAGGTAAATAAACCTTATTAAAGTGCTTCTTGTATGCCATGTCTTTAATTTTGACTAAAGTTATTTAAATTTAATTGAAAAAAAAATTTTCTGCAACTTTGGAACGCATTTCCTTAATTTTAAATGGTTATCAAGGATTGCTATGGAAGTTCTATTATCATGATTATCTTAAATTCTTGGTTTTACAAAACAAAGGTGTTATTTTTAAAATTTATTAAGTTGCTTTATATACTATATTTTAAATATATTTTAATAAAAAAAATGTTCACTACATTATTAACTAAACTCAACTGACACCATAAATCTATACAAGGCTTAAGTAAATGGTGAAAATTGTCCAGTAACCATAAAATATATCTGAAACATTAAAAAAATTTGAATAACTTTGAAAATATTAGTCACAACTCAGTTTTGAGATTATTTGATCAGCTTGTTTTATTTTTATTTTAAAGGTGATATATATATATGTAAGTGTTGATAAATATGGTGTTGAATTTATATTATGTTTATTGTGAAATTTTGGTTTCAATGCCATATTGAATACATTTTAAATTTCAAATTGTTGTTCAAATTTCTAGCCAGGGGAAATAACTGTTAAAAACAGTTCCTAAGTTGATGAAATACAAAAGATAGATACAAAAACTAGGTCTAGGTTGGTTAAGACTTAGTCGAGTATGGTTCAGACTAGGTCGAGTATGGTTCAGACTAGGTCGAGTTTGGTTCAGACTAGGTCGAGTTTGGTTCAGACTAGGTCGAGCATGGTTCAGACAAAAATAAAATGGTTAAGTACTGGTCGAGTACAAGTTCAGACTGTTAAGTATGGTTCAGACTACAGTCGAGTATTATCAAGTAAATTTCAGACCAATTCAGAGTGGTCGAGTAAAAATCATTACAGTCGAGTACAAATATAGGCCATTTCAGACTTTTACTGGTTTGTAGTGTCAGTAGAATTAGATACACTTTAAATCAAATAAATCACTTTGTTACCTAATAAAGAAGTCCGAAGAAGCAATTTAGGATAAAATATCTTATATAAATTAGGATTTGCCTATTTTTAGGTCGTTTTTTTGTTATATAGCTCTTCAGCTGTTTCGGTTCTTATACATCTTTCAAATATTCGGCTGTGAGCGTTCCTGATGAAGGTAAATCCAGAAAAGCGCTGCGGACGCATGAAATTAATAACGTGTTGTTTTCATTTCTTTAACCTGTAAAGAAAATGACGCATTCAACATAACAATCAGCTGTATAAAGCCA